TGCAACCGTTGTGGAAATCAGTGTGGAGACTCCTTAGAAAACTTGGACTGGAAATCCCATTTAAATCAGCTATTCCTCTACTCGGAATTTTCCCAGAGGATCTGAAAACATGATATCATAGGGATATATGTATGCCTATTTTTAAAAATATATTCTAATTTTTAAAGGTTTTTTTTTCTCATATTCTGTAGGGACTTAAAGTTCAATGTGTCAATACTTGATGAAAAATACCTTTTCCATGTTATGCCTAAAATGTTTGATATTCAGACAGATAGTGAGGTTAAGCTTAACAGCCTAGGTTGTACGGTAATAACAATAAGCTTTTCTCCTGCATGGTTAACAACCTAAGTTTGCAGACCAAAATTAGAGAAAAAGGAAGGCTGCAAGGAAAGCCAAGATTTTGGACCTAGCCTTCCAAGGTCAATTAAGACTCAGGACATATGAGAACTTGTACTGTAATGTCACGTAACTCGGTAGTGTCCCAAATTTTCTGGTCAAGGAGATTATGGGGCTAAAGATGAAAGTGATCGATGATGCAGAGTGTCCCGAAGCAGAGTCACATGGAGAGAAATCATTCTCTCAGGCTTTCACAGAGAACACATTGGCCAAGTAATGGCCGTGACTCATCCACATGGCTGACACTGACAAAGGTTCTACAATCTGAGGTACAGGATCTCAGGATCAATCCTGAGGGGATTTCACTGACCTTATCAGACCCAAAAGCTACAATTCTTGTTGCATAGGTCCTGCTTTACCTTGGTCTTAACCATCCAGCAGAAAAGTATAAAAACGAAGTATAAGAATAAAGCCATGTTGTTATGTTGAGCCCTAGGGGACTCAGGTCAACAATTTCTGACATTGACAGTGAAGCAGAAGACCCAACATTATTATGGGCTACTGGACTCTTTTAGAATATTTTGCTGAGTTTACACACCTATAATATTTAAATGATGGAACTTAACAAAAAAAAGGGGATACAGATGAATGTCCACTTTGTATCTGTGTATTCAAAGTGGTTAGGATACATATATAGTTACATTCCCTTAATGAATAGAGGGATTTGTTCTAATGGTGTTTGTAAATAGGATATCAAGTCCGCATCTTGTACAGCAAGTAACCACTAGGAAGAATGCATGCAGTGTGTTAATTATTGAAACTGTCCTGTCAATTTTGTTTGAAACTGTCTCCTTGCCTTTTGTTTCTCAATAAAATTATGGAAAAAAATAAAGTAGAATCATTTTCTTCTTTGCAACAAATGTTCAAATGCTGGTGTTTTTTGCTTTTCAGTAAATTTTTGGAAATTCACTTCAAAGCCAGGAATTCCCACACCGCTATACCCTGAAGATTCCCTGTAGCATCTTACAGTTCCATAGGGCTCTCTTTCTAGCCACTACTTCACGCAGCCTCGTTATATTGTGAGATTTGCTTCTATTTCCCTTCTTTCTGTTAGACTTACCTCTCTCATTTTCTCCAAATGATGATACAGGTAGAAAAACCGATCGTGGGTGGGTGACCTCCAAATGATGCAGGGAACCTCCAAATGATATAGGGGGAAAATGATCTGACTTGACCTGCACGAGTTTACGTTCTCTTAAACCGAAGAATGAACTTTAGGAACAAATGGAGGTTATTATGAGCAGAATATATTTATTGAGGGAAAGCAAGCTCCTGTCTGAGAGGGACAGGAGAGGGGCCCAAGCGGATTGTCCCCGGGAAGCTGTCTCTTCCAGGGACTTTTATAGTGTCTAAGGTGGAGAACATGGGAACTAGCTTAGCTGGGCAGGAGTTGGGACAAATCTATGGTCAACCAATGGGATTACAAGCACCATTGCTCTGGTAAAATTGATTAAGTCCAGGATCAAATGGGGAAAGGAGTCATGTAGCAAGCAGGCATGAATATAGAACAGGACTTTATCAGGTAGCCATCCAATAGTAGCTTGATTAATGATTCTTCTGGCTCCCTCAGGGTGATGATCAATCTCAGATGCCAATCCTTAGGGAGGTCAGCATTTGCCTGATCTTTGGTCTTTAGGTCTGGCCCACAGTGGGAGCATCCATCCCTCCCACAGTTGTAAGGTATCTTGTCTTTTGACTAGCCCTCTCCGACTGCCAATAATATTTCTATCTAACTTGGCTGCCTGCAGCAATTACATTCCAGCATGATGCATTGTGCCTCTGTAAAATGCTATGTTCAAGTCCTAACTCCAAGTACCCAAGCAAGTGACCTTATTTAGAAAAAGTCCCGGGGAAGGGGAGATGGCTCAGTGGAATAAGCACTTCCCTGGCTAGAAAAAGTCCCTTTCTGAGGTAATCATGGTGAAATGAGGTCTTTGAAGTGGGTGCTAATCCACACGGCTTCTTTTTCTGGAAAAAAAAATAGTTTAGACACAGAGATAAGCACAAATGGAAATGTCACATGAAGATAAAGACCATGATTGAGTGATGCAACTACAAGCCAAAGAGCATCAAAAAAGAAAAATACCAAGGGAGGAAAAGAAGCTGGGAGAGAGACATGGAACAGATCGCTCACAGCTCAGAGAAGAAACTAAAGTTGTGCACTTCAGTTCTCCAGAACTGGGATTTCTGTCATTTAAGCCACCTAGTTTGTGATACTTTGACAGTTCTAGCAATTAATGCATCCAGCCACACACCAGCATGTCTACTAGCTGTTAGGAAAGTAGCATTGTTCTTTTTACTGTCACCAGTGGTACTCTCCATCAGTCTTGTCTTTTTTTTTTTTTTTTTTTGTCATGTAAGAGAGTTACATACTCACTGTAGGGACTACATTTCTCAAACTCCAAATTTAAGGGGCATCCTCCCCACCAAAATAACCCTCTTATAGTTGTATTCCTTATTATAGGGATGGCATATCTAGGGGCAAGATTGTTCAGGACCTTATAGGCTTATAAAAACAATTCTGGATTTGATTCTATTGAGTGAGAAAGGTATTGAAGATTTTGAACAGGAAAGAGACAGCTGATTTGAAGTTTTAAAAAGTTTTACATCTGATATTTGCAGAATAGATGGTACAGAGGTAGAAATAATAGCATATAGAACAATTAAGAGACAGTTACTATATCTGGCATGGACTGAAGTGATAGCAGTAGAGATGGTAACAATAAGTTAGAGTTAGGGTAAGAGCAAACAGCTTTCCTGAGGACTTGTTCATCCAAAGCTAGGTAGGGAAAAGGAATCAAAATACGACCTTTATTGTCCAGTTAGGGAATTTTTCATGGTTGTATTTACTATGAGGGATTTTTGTCATAAAAGCTGAGTTCAGAAATAAATGTCTTCTGGGGATGTGATGACAGCTTTCCACAACTATTTTATATCTATACTATTTATTCAGAAGACAGAAAAAAAAAGGCTATCAGATCATGAAGTATAAAAAGAGTGGTGAGAAAAAAATGGGAGTTCTTGGCTTCCTTAAAGATGTACAAACAATCAAAACCATAAATAAACAAATAAGCTTCTATAATTTAGATGACTGGATAGGGAAGAATTTGTGCATATACATTAAAAGAAAAACCTAAAAAACGTCGCTATACATATGTGATTGTAACTGTACTAGCTTTTGAAGCATACATAGGTTGCTGTACAGTATATAAGCCTGCACACACTTCTACATTTTTTCTTTAGATTTTCCTTTCAGATTTGTAGGAGACATCTTGTGTAGGGAGTAAGGACATGACTCTGTTTAGGGCAGTGTGATGGGTGCATTGTGTTCACTGTATTTCAGCATATTACCTCTTTATTCTTGATTTTGACATTTTTGGTAGAATTGGATATGAAAAGTGTAGTTCCCACTGGCTATTACATAGCGTTATGTTCTTTTGCTGAATAACAAATCACTTCCAAATTTACTGCATTAAAATAACACTAGTTATTTTCATTATTTTTAGTTGCATCAATGGATGAGGAATCAGAATCAGGTATAGTGGGATTTGCTTTATATTTATTTTATAAAATTTGGCATCCTAGTGGAAAGACTGAAGGATTGAAGTTTTTTTTCTTTTTTTTTTTTTTTTTTTGGCTTTTTGAGACAAGGTCTCCCGACATACTTCAGGCTGGCCTTAAATTCACTAAAGCCCCATCTGGCCTTGAACTCACAGTTGCACCTGCCTCAGCCTTCAGAACTAGAATTACAGGACGTCCATCATGCCCTGCATGGACTGAGACATTTTGAAGGCTCATACTGGTTTTGCTGAAATTATTGGCTGAAACACTAAAAATTCTTAGTGTTCAATAGGAAGCAATTTACACTGAGCAAAGCGTATCCTTCTAAAATCTTTGAATGGGCTTCTGTGTAACATCGAAGGATCATTTTACTGATCTTCTGACCTGTTTTCAAGTTTTGTATGAATATTAATATATTAATAGTAACTAAATTTTATGTTTTTATCCAGTTGTCACTAATTTTCCCATTATTGTTTTCTCTTTGAAAATGTCACATTGGGTTTAGTCTCACTAGATTCCTTTTGCTTCTGAAAGTTTATCAGGTTTTCTTTTCTTTCTATTTTTTACTGTTTGTAACCCTGACTGGAGAAGTACTGGTTAAATATTTTGCCCGATATTTTTTTATGGTTACACAGAAATTATGATTAGGGTTTTTTTTTTTTTTAATAAATCGATCCACTGTTTCCAGTTATCAAAATAAAAGTGTATTTCTTTCCATTCCTCTATTTAAAATATTTTCAGTTTTCTCGTCTACAGAACAAATTCAAATTACTTAGTATGGTACACAAAGCTTTTCAAAACCAGGCTCTGGTCCTCTTCTTCTGTTAAAAGTCCTCCCCTACAATTGAGGGCCCGCCAATAGGGGAGCCCTAATCATCTTGACAATGGCCTGCCTTGTCCAGGCACTCATTTCTGGATAATTCTGCTGGGACTGCATCCCCAATAACGTTCCTTAATAGTGCTCCCCTTTCCCCACTAAAGTTAACCCATCATCCCTTTTCCAACTTCCTGAGTTGACTTACCTAGGCTTCTAAATATCTTTAACAAATCATTTAATATGTGATCATTCATTCAACAAGTATTCAAGTGTTTTGTGACAGGCATTATTGTATAATTGAGAATGTTAATAAGACAAAGATACTTTAGTTTACATTTCAGAAAACAAGACCTAGCAACAATGATAGTATCTTTCCTCTTAGCTACATAGGAAACGTGAAGCTGAGATTCAGACTTGTGACGCCTGTAGGAGTGAAGGCCAGTGTACTTTAGCGAGGTCTGGGGCCATTTCCTGAAAAACTGGGCAAGCATCGGGTCACTCGTCGGCTGGTCGGGCTGTCCACGCGGCAGTCCATCTAACTGGGCTTTGTGTCCTCCATCTGCTTTTTGGCCCTGTTGTGGGAAAACAAACGCCCTCAACGTATCACGTAAAAACGAAAACCTTGCTGTCTCTACCGCTAATCCGGATCTGCCCACAGGACGGGCAGAGCCCCAACCTGTTTCTGTGAAGCCAGATCGACGACCCCCCAGGAGAGGCCTTAGAGTCAGGCAGGTTAACAAGGAAACGCAGAGCATCAGGAAGCCAGCATGGACTTCCCATTTAAGCTACGATTTAGAGGTCGCCTTAATTTTCCAAAAGGCTGTCTTTGCTTTCAGCAGTTGAGTGGTAAAGCCCGCTTGGTAAATTCTGCGTGCAGAATCAGGCTTCGCGGGGCCGTCCTCCAAGGTGACCCAAGCAGACCCCAGACGCGACAGCACAAGCCGCTCGCTGAACGCGAAGGCGACCCTCGCCGCCCACCGCCTTTCCCAACGCCCCATCTCGTCCCACAGGAACCCACCCGGCGACCGCGCCCCGCCCACTTCCGGATTGTCGCAGCCGCCGCTGTCGCGTGCGTGATGACGTCTGCTGTCCCCCGCAGACCCCGGAAGTGCAGCTTGAACTTGGCCGGGGCGCGGATCCCGAGAGGGAAAGTCCTGACAACCGCACTAGGGAGTTCCACAGGCGCGCTGGAAGGCCACGCCTCCTCCCGCCTGCCCCCGCAGCCCTGCAGCTGGGGGCAGAGCTCAGGTAGGCGCCGCGGCCGCCGGGATCCGAGCCGGGGCAGGCCCGGGTTCGAGCCGAGCGGGGTGGCCTGGGTCGGGGCCGGCGGAGGGAGCTGGCCCCGACGTCCCAGGCTGTCAGAAACCACTCTGCGTTTCCAGGGGCGACGCTGCCCCGCGTCCCGTCCCGGCCGCCGCTCTGGGCAGCTCCAGCTGGCGCTTTCCAGTCCGCAGGCAGCGGGAGCGCACGTGTGTTCCCGACACCCGCCTCAACGCCTGAGCTTCTGGGAGCGTCTAGACCCCTTAGCGTGCTGGGCCCTCGGGCAGGCGGTGCAGGCTTCTGGCCGGAGCGCGAGTGTGTCGTGTTACCAACTGCAGACTGAACGTTGACGTGCAGCTCTAACCCGCTTTCCCAACATTTAGCGTCAGTGGTCACTGGTGCGACGTTTCATTTGGGATGATGCATGCGAGTGCTTAGTTGAATACTGCTGACTTTAAAATAAAGTTAGGTATGTTTTCCAAGTGGGCATTTCTCTCATCCAGCTATTTAACACACTCGCCTGTGTTCCAGGGTGTGTATCTGTTGGGCCGAGTAACTGGTTGCTCATTATTTTGGCCATAATTAAGGATGAACTGGAAAAAAAAAATAAAAGAGGAAAAGGACAAGCGGTGGTTGCATTTGTTAATTTCCTCCAAGTCCTCAAAAAAAGTCATAGAGGGGGAATTCTGCGGTTTTCATTTGTAGGTGCCTTGTAATGTTTATTAAAATAAGTGGAATGTGATGCTTGCCTATGGTGATTGGTTTGCTTTGCTTTAAGCAGGCAGAGGTATATTGTTTTTTATCTTTCTTAGTGAGGGACAGACATACCATATTCATTTAGCATATTTCAAAGCTGAATCAGGCAGTACTGTTTCATGTGTTTAAGATCTGAGTCTCAGTGCTAGTACCAGATTTCTTTTTAACTTTTAAAAGTACATGTTCCTTCTCCTTACCAATAAAGCCCACACCGAAGGACTAAAGGTGATACTCAGGATGGCTGTACAGTTGTGACTGGTTCAACACTTGTAAATGGTGGAATGGTGCTCAGGAAATACGATCTGTGGAGTGTGAGCATCCATCTAAGTTCCGTGGGCAGGGAGTTACTGGCCACTTCCAATGTGCTATGTAATGTCCCTGGTGCTGCTGGGGAGGCAGTAGTAAATAGAATAGAAAGTCTTTCCAGTGCTGGAGCTCACATTTTAGTGCATGGAGAATGGCAGTAAACAAATCAATGTATAATAAAATGATGAGAGGAAAAAAGAATTAAATGGGAGGGAGGGAAGGAGAAAGGGAAGGAGAGAGAAAGCATGCTATTTAACATAGGGTGTTCAAGCTCAGCCTCTTTGATAAAAAGGGACATTTGAGTGGAGATCTGAATAAAGTGAGGACATGAGCTGTGCAGTTGTGCGGGGACAGGTCATTTAGGTGAGCACAAAGAGCCTGAGGCAAAAGCATATTTGGCATAAGTTAGAATAGCAAGGATATAAGCATCAGATTTTAAAAATATTATGAAAGAACATTTATTCAGTCACCTGTTGTGTTTGTGTGAGGGGGTGTATTGACAGTATATTTTTTCTAAACTTTCCCCAACAGACCTCTTTGAGGGAATTTAATATAGGCATGTGGAGATGTTTCCAACTTTCGATGTGGAAAAACTTTGTGCTCTAACAAAATTAAACACAGTTTACTCAGTTGTATTTTATTTATCTTTTGTTTTTGTCAGCTTGGTTTTGCATAGTATTTGTTAGGTAACAAATACGCTATCCTATGTCAACTTAATTTTTCATTGAGCTTTTTTATTATAGTAAAATGTATATACCCTGAAGGTTGATGTAATTTTAATAATTTTTGCATGTGCTTGCACATCATTGGTATTCATCTCCAGAAATTTTTCATCTTCCCCAGCTGAAGCTATGAATCTATTAAAACTATCTCTTCTTTATTGACTACTGCGACTACCAGTCTACCCAGGGTCTTTGTATTAAGCTGCATCCCCAGCCCTTTTAAAACTTTGAGACAGGGTCTTACCAGTGTGCGAAGTTACCCAGGCTGGGCTCTGAGTTATGATCCTCTGACCTCAACCTCCCAGAATGCTGGGATTAGAAATGTGCCCTATGAAGCCCCACTGTGTCTGTGATTTGAGCTGTCATAGCTTCCTTATGTAAGTGTAATCATGTAAACAAATCATCTGTGTTGTCTTATGGTACTTTTCTTGTTGCTGAGACAAAATACCCTATAGCTACATGTTAAAGAAGGAAAGGCTTATTTTCAAGTCAGTTTGTAGAAGTCTCATTCCAAGTTGGCTAGCTCCAAGGCCACATGTCCTGTTGAAGGGGAATTGCAGAACAGAAACGGTACCTGGGGTGGCAGGCAGAAGGCAGCAGGCAGCAGGCAGCAGGCGGCAGGCAGGAAAGCCACCTTTTCCTTTTATACCATGCAGGCTACAAGCCATGACGATGGTGGGACTTCCCATCATCCACACCCAGAACTATGCTCAGCCCATCAGTGGACTTACTTAGTTATCATACCCACATTCACACACCCTTAATCCTCGTTCACACATCCTAGAAATAGGCACCTCTGAGAAGCCCAGCCTATGAGTGTGTGAGGCTCTGACGGGAAATCTAGATGTAAGCCGTGGCATATGGTCATTGGTCTACTTCTGTGTTTTGGTTGGTGTAAATAATGATCCTACGTGTGAAAATATCAGTTCTGGCTCCTGCTTTCCTTTCTTTTGATTATCAACCCAGAAATTTCTAGATTACAGGATAAATTTCTATGAGTTACCCAGGACACCGTATTTTAAAGGTGAGCCTAAGGAGGTGCATGATAGAACCCTTAGGATGTGGGGCCTACTGAGGGGTCTGGGTCATTGTGACTGTGCCTTCGAGGAGACAGTGAGGCCCAGCTACTTCCTTGTCTTTCTTTTGCTCTCTGGTCACTGAGTGTTTTTCTGTACCAACTGCTCCCACTTTGTTGTGCTGGCTTGCTACAGGTCTGAATCTGTGGGCTTCTCATGGACTGAAACCTCCACAAATGTCAGATTAAATAAAACTTTTCTCATAAGGTGGCAATTTCAGTATTAAGTAATTGAAAGTTCACTGACACACAAAACTGGGTTTAATTTTTTGAGGAATTGTCTACTCTTTTCCACAGTGTCCATCCCATTTTACATTCCCACCAGCAGTACACAGGGATTTTAATTTTCTGTATCTTTACTGAACATATTTTCAGTTTTTTTGATAATAGCCATTTTTAGAGATAAAAGAATATCTGTAGTTTAGACTTCCATTCTCCTAAAAAAATGGAGATGTTAAGTATATTTTCCTGTGCATTTTGACCGTTGACCTTTAAAGAGCAGGTTGCCTACCACCATATCTTTTGTTGCTTCTTTAACCTTAATTTACCGTAATGATAAACTCATCAATTGTCTGTACACAGGCATCTACAGTAACTCCAAACTTTAGCATCTTTTCTAACAAGAAATTTTTTAGTAGCAGGTAGTGATGACATTTCATAAAAGTCAGAGATTATCCTAATCTGCTTTGTTTTCTAAAATCTTTTTTTCCTTTGGCAGGGAGAAAGTGTATTGATGAGCTAACTATGCCTGTGAAGTAGACTTCTTTAGTTTGGTGGTTGAGAAGAGCCAGAAATGGATAGGCCAGAAGTAATGCAGAAAGAGAAAAGATATGTCAGCAATGTAACAGTTGGATGTGGCTAGATGGACAGTGGCAGAAGGGTTCAGGAACAGTGATGAACAAAGAGTGCCACAACTGACAGCAGAGGAGAGGTGACCCGACAAACTGACAGGAATTAATAAAGTTCTGTAGATGAGAATGGGATGGAGAGAGGGTAGAGTGCAGGTTGCCAGCTCCATCTCACCTGTGGTTTGCAAATGAGGTCTATTAGTTCAGGCAGATCTACTGTGAAGCCAATAATGTATGTTAGTTCATGCAGTTCAGCAGTATTTGGAAGGTGTGCACTGTGTCTGGTCCAGGGAAATAAACCAAGTTCTTCAAACTGTGTATCTCATCATTTCCATTGAGAGAATAAAGAGAATTTATTGAATAATTAGGTGTGTAATCTAACAATGTTCAACATCATTGAACTTTTTATATATAATCTCTTTTAAAAGGAAAGGAATTTTAAGATCCCAGATGTCCAATTGTCCATTAGTTTAAAGTAGCATGTCGTTTTCATTTGTTTTTAAACTAGAGTGCTTTCATCACACTTATTGTTAATGAGACTCTTTTGGGGTGCTGCATTTAGCTAACTCAGTTACAAAGCTTACTTAAGTGGACTGCATTAGTTTAACAAATTAAACATTATACTGCAGTTTCACTCAGTATAATAACAAATTGAAATCGGTCAGTTTGCTGCACAGCTAAGTTATAGACAGGTTTTGAGACAGCAGTGTTGTGCTGCTGATACAGGGAAACCTCCAAATGACACAGGGAGAAAACCTGATCTCCCAACCTAAAAGGTACCTGGGACAAGTTCGTGTTCTCTAAAACTGAAGAATAAATTTTAGGAACAAATGGAGGTTATGAGCAGAATATATTTATTGAGGGAAATAAAGCTCCTATCTGAGAGAGAGACAGGAGGGGGACCCCGAGAAGATTGTCCCCAGGAAGCTGTCTCTTCCAGGAACTTTTATAGAGGAAAACCATGTGGTGAGGCAAGTCTAAGGTGGTGGAGAAGACATAGGAACTCTTTAGGTGGGCATGAGGTAGGACAAAACTAAAGTCAACCAATGAGATTGCAAACACCATTGCTTAGGTAAAATCGATTAAATCCAGTACCAAATGGGGAATCGAGTCACTTAGCAAGTGGACATGTATATGGGACTGGGTCTTTTCCTGTTGGGGGCTGGCCCAGTGACTCATTTGGGCTCTTTCAAGGTGATTTATATGTGTTTAGAATATCAATCCCTGATGCCCATCCCTGGGGAAGTTATGTAGCTGTGTTTCCTCTTTTGTCTTGGTCTG